TCGGAACCTTTTTGAAGTGCAGAGTTTTAGCACTGCTTGATAAAGCAGGAAGAAAAAGAAATAAAATCTTCGCACCAAGGTCCTCCTCGATCGTCTTCAGTTTACACGCGCATTATAATTGTACCATGAACTCAGAGCAAGATTATTTTTTTGTTTCCGTTGTTGCGCCGAAACTCGAAGAGAGCTCAGAGACAAAAATGCTTCGAGCAAAAAATTAAAGACAGCAGTCGTATACGGTGATGAAAACAAGCAAACAAAAACATAAAACAAAAACGACGGAATTGTCAAAACAGGTTCTGAATACTGTAATTTCCATTATTTCCCCCGCCCCGCGTGTGATGAGATGGCGAGGCGGAGGAGGAGGAGGAGTATGTAAAAGGAGGGGGGGGGGGAGTAGGATTCGCGAACAATTAAGAACATGGAACCGCCGGGCCCCACACCTACTGTACGGCACGTGTACGGAGACGGTGGGCCGGGGAGGGGGGGGGGGGTATAACGCCACCGCACTTGGCATCGGCAGGACCGATGACCGCGACAAGAGCGGTAGCCCAACGGTGTTTGCAACGGTGTCGGCCGCGGCGAACGCACCGGGATGTGCGAATTATAGCCGGGCTTATTACTGAAGTACAACAACGGCTCGCAAAAAAATTGAGGCACTTCCCTGTGGTCGACGCGCTCTTATTGTGGAACGCAGCCCCCCCCCCCCCCCCCCCCCCCCCCCCACGTCCTTAGCGCCTTTTAGGGCAATACGCGTGTATCGACTTTCTTTCGTGACTGCCCGTCTCGAAACGCGTTTATTGTTTAGGTCGTGAGCAGCGAGGCACGAGCGTATGGTCTTTTGTCCGGGAGGGACAGCCACTGCCAACAAGCGGGCGGTAGGGGCAGGGGTGCAATAATTTGCGTGTAGGGATTTATTGGGGACCGTGCAGTTCGGCCGCGCATGCGAAGGAGAGGCTTACGTGCGTGCCCGCTGCCCGTATAGGTCTCGCATAGCCAAACCCAAAAGAACTGGCGCGAGGGAATTCCCAATTTCGGAGCCGTCTGTCCTCGCCCGCCGCCGCGCAGTCACGAAAGCACGAGCACGATTAATATCCCTCGGGACTTCTCGGAACCTCTCACACCAACCGGAACGGCAATTATGAACATACTTAGAGGCAATCCGCAATCGACAAACGAAACGGTAACGAAAGGGGGGGGGGGGATATTGATACAGACGCATTTTGCTGGACAATTTTTCATACCGGGGTGCTAGCCTCTTACAGCCCTCCCTAGAGGCAAGGCATCGAGCTGCAATGTTTACGTTCTGCTTTAGCTGTCATGTCAAGGTTCTAGATTGATTGTCATTTGAAATGCTGGAACAGTCGGAATCGACATTTTCTTACACTTCTTGAAGTAACAGATTGATTTTGTAATCACCAAAATGGACTCAAACACAAAATTTGAATTTCATCATATAATCAACAACATACAAAGAATAGCTCTGTATGAAACAAAGGCAGTAAGTATATATTTCTTGTCACCACAAATTGTTGAACGATGAACTATTATGCATATAGACTAATGGAACACTATAGTAATATTTACAATTTTACTACATTATAGAGGTATTTTTTGGTTGGTTCAAACAACAGCCAAACAAAGTTTCGAGTATTAAAGATTGATCGTATGGAGCCTAGGGAATTGAATGTGGTAGATGACCAGCAAGTGTACTCTAGGGAAGAAATCCAAAACCTCCTCAGCATGATTGATGTTGGTAACCGCAACAGGCAAGGGGGTTCAGGCTCACCATTCATACCTGTGGCATCTGCTTTTGGGATTGTCGGTGAGTGCGAGAACAAAGCCTACATCATAGTTTGCTGAAGCATTCACATTCACAAGTCCTTTAAAAAAATGTTCTATTATAGGATTTGTGCGGTTTTTGGAGGGCTATTACATTATTTTAGTCACTAAAAGGCGACACGCTGCTATGATAGGGCATCATAGTATTTATAAAATTGAGGACACAGCCCTTATATACATACCAAATGATGGGGTGAGGCGGGCTCACCCTGATGAAGCTCATTATTTTAAAATGTTTCAAAGCATTGATTTATCAAGTAATTTTTACTTCAGGTAAGGTCACATGATGAAAGAAAGAAGTGGTTACATACACATCTAAAATATTAGGCAAGACATTAAACCTTCAGTTTTTTTGTTTTTTTCCCCCCTCAAATTTCAGTTACAGTTATGATGTAACACACACATTGCAAAGGAATCTGACATCACCTGCAGGAGGCATTCCCATTCCACCTGGTCTGTATACCTCTACTTCAATATTGCCATGGGAAATAAAACTGGCTTATAAAATTAATCTTGCTTTTCAGACTTGAGGCCTTTCCTTGTGAATGAAGTAGAGAGTGCAGATGATTTGTTTTCTGCCAGCAGCAGCAATGTTACGTTAGAAAATTCAGAAAACAGCCTCAAGTTTAGAAAGTTGGTTCTGTAGTTTGTTTCTGAAAGACATTATATTCTTTGTGGAGATAAAAAATCAACTATGGATAAGTTTAGAATTTGGTAGATATAATTAATTTTTACAGGTCACCTAAGAAATACTTAGGTGTGCGAAGCAGTCCAAACCAAAGATTTGTCTGGAATTCATATCTTCTGAAACAAGTAGAATCTATTCTTTGTCCAGATTGGATCTTACACATCACACATGGATTTGTTAGCCAGTCCAATGTTAGTATATTTGGTTGTTCTGCCTATATCACACTTATTGCAAGACGTTCAAATAAATATGCTGGAACACGTTTTCTTAAAAGAGGATCCAATTTTGAGGTAAGAACATCATCTGAAAGCATTAGCTGTTTATGCTCGATAAGAAACTAATGATGTAGTCTGATTACTGTCGGAGATCATTCTAAATTACTCTTTTAGGGAGATGTGGCAAATGAGGTGGAAACGGAGCAAATTGTCCATGACTCAGGAGTTTCTTCACTGCAACAAGGTAGATTCAGTTCTTTTGTGCAAATGAGAGGCTCGATTCCGGCCCACTGGAGTCAAGATATCAGCAAAATGGTCCCTAAACCACCTATAGGGTTTGATTTGAGTGATCCATTTGCGGAGACTGCAGGTAGGGCTACAAAATTGCTTTTATTTCCAGGTATTGCAGTAAAACTTAATTGCATTTTTTTTGTTTTATGTGTTAATTAAAATTATTCTCTGTTTTGAGGCAAACACATTAATAAACTATTTGCCCGCTATGGTGCTCCAATTATATTTCTAAACTTGGTGAAGAAGAGAGAGAAAAAAATTCATGAAAGCCAGTTGAGTATTGAGCTCTGCAATGCTATAAGATATCTCAACCAATTTTTGCCGCCAAAGCACCACATTGAATACGTCAGCTTTGATATGGCTCGGAAAAACAACCAGTAAGTGGTGAAATTTTTATAAAATGTGCCATCCTTTTTTGCTCTCCTATTTAGCCTACCATGATTACTTTCTCTATAGAAAGGATGTGAATGTGATGAAAAAATTGGCTAAAATTGCTCATGATGCTATTTTACGGACTGGGATTTTTCAAAATTTTGATCCATACTTCCAACACAAAAATGAATTTATTCTGGGAAAGCCAAACACCATTGATGGTCATGGCCATCTTCAAACAGGCATTATTAGAGTGAACTGTGTTGATTGTCTTGACCGGACAAATACAGCCCAGTTTGCTCTTGGCAAATGTGCTCTTGGATTTCAGGTATGAGATTGGAGAGAGGTGATGAGTCTTCCTTTATAATGTGTAGAAATAATGAAAGACATTACTTTTAAATGCAATTTTTTTAGTTATATGCTTTAGGTTTCATACAAGAGCCAAAACTTGAATTTGATTCAGATTGTGTCCGGATGCTAGAAAATTTGTATGAAGACCATGGGGACACATTAGCTCTTCAATACGGAGGATCTCAACTTGTCCATAGAATCAAAACGTACAGGAAAACAGCTCCATGGACATCCCAGGGCAATGACATCATGCAAACATTAAGCCGTTACTATAGAAATACTTTTTCTGGTAAAGTAGAAACAATAATTATTCTTTCTTCAGTTTGTAACTAGGATACTATCAGTAGAATTACTTGTTGTTTATTTTTTATTTCCTTGGTTATTTTTGATAGATGCTGAAAAGCAGCACACTATCAATGTGTTTTTGGGATTGTTTGTTCCGGAGGAGAATAAGGCACCTATATGGGAACTCCCAACAGATTATTACTTACACCACATAGTAACACCAAGAAAAAACATCCAACCAAGGTCAGCTAAAGTTTATGAACTGAAATGTGTGTCATTGCCATTTCTTTCTTTTTCTTTAATAAAAAATTAATATTTTTAGAAAGCCACTGACAATGTGGTGGGACAAAGAAGTATTAGAAGTTCTTCCCAGAGCTCAAAATGAACTGAAACGCACATACATGCAAGTTCTGCTGGTTCAACCTAGAGATCAGATTGTTGATGCATATCAAGACTATTACCAGCCACTGAGATTTAGTGTTCTTGAAGACCTTTTCCCATACAAGATCCGTAATGCAGTCTGGTAATTTTTAATGTTTTGCTTGTTGTTTATAGTTTGTGTGTCTTAGACAGTGCTAACTCCATGTTTTCTGATTAAGGGATTTTATGCCTAATTGCACAACAGACTATAGTCCATTTATAGTCCGAGCAAGACCTGGTCGCCGAAGTGAAGAATCTACCTCACGGGGTAGTATTATGAAAAATCCTTCACTTACAGGTCAAAGTTCTACCAGTTCCACAACATCCAGTGCTAGGTGAACTTCATTTCCTACTAAAATGCTTTATCAGTGAATATCATAATTATTTAAGCTACAATCAAAACTCAAGCATAACACATAACACAGATACATGTTTTTGTTCACATTTTAAAATGTTTCCTTCATCACTAAATAAACTAGCTCAGGAGCTGATTCAGAAGAAACTGATGCTGAGGAAGACCTTGGTGCTCCATCTGACACTCACAGCACTCCTTCCTCCAAGGATAGTGTCAAAACAACAACATTTGAAGCCATGTTTCCCAGTATGCACCAGGTATATGGCATTCAACCAGAAGCACCCAATCCTGGAGACTTACGAATGCTCAGAAGGTAAGAATCTGGCATAAAATTGTAGGTTGCCTCAAACAGACCACATGTTTCATAATACTGAAATTCTTTCATTTTCAATCTAAGGTTTGTCTTAATTGGACGAAATGCTACTCAACCATCTTCGACTGAGATATTAAATCGGCATTCAACAACTAGAGTCCTATTTAAGAAGCAAATAGGAATAAAGCCTGTAGCAGTTGGGGCAGATGCTAAAAATGTTTATGAAAAATTTGTTAAGAGAGGTCTTGAGGCATCTACTAATTTAAGAGCAGCTGATCACAACAAGTACACTCAGTATGTCACAGATAGAACCTTAGAAGTGCGTGACATCCGTATCCTCCGGTTTGGGTCATGTGAATAATTTTCTGAACTGTAATTAAAATAATGCTGGTACTCAAATAAAAATATATATTTTGTTACTGAATACAGTCTGATGATGCAGAATTGTACCTACCTCCATAATTTTTTTTCTGGTTTTATGTCTAAGTCAAAAATAGAAGCAATCCTATAAACAAAGTATAGGCTTCTTTTTGGACATACTAAAATTGGAGTTCATATCTACATACAAATTACATACAAAGATCATAGGCTGAGAGGGAACAGTATAAAATTTAACATTACTGTGTCTGTCCTATACAAAATCACAATGCCAGGATTTAAGTTCCAGAATGTTTGGCAAACAGACAGCTAGCTACCTAGGACCAAAACCAAAAACTAGACATAGTCAACATTTTAAAAGAAAAGAATTAGGAGCATAGAACAATAGATAGAGGCCCTATAAAAACAAATATTGAGCACATTCAGACAAGACAATTAAAAGACGAGGAGGAATAAATAAAATTAAAATACAGCTACACATGAAGATTTTCCAAGGAATGTAAGAACTAAGAAACGAAATTCAGACAGCAGCTGTGTTTAGACATCCAGCTGAATGACACCTAATAGCTGTACACAATGTTGCTACTTCCATAGATAATTTTTAACACATAGTATATTTTGTCTTCATTAATTTGGTTTAAGTTTGCTCAAAGAGAAACAAGTAATATTATTTTATACTATGGTTGGAGCAGCTCGAAGCTCCATATTTCTTGCACAAAAAGAATTCTTCTAGGAGGTACACAGCACTCAGACCACTTAAGGTAGATGAATTTAAGTATAGCAGATCAATGCATCCTGTTCACATGAGCTCTTAAATCATCAGGTACCCAGAAAGCGGAACTGCATATTTCACATTTGAACTCTTTCATGCCTTTATGCTTTGCAATGTGGCGCTCAAAGGATGATAATAAGTAAAACGTTTCCTCACAATCTTGTATTACACACTTATAGGGTCGTTCACCTGTGTGCTTTCGGAGATGGGCAGCATAAGAAGTGCTTGAGACATAGGACTTTTCACACATTTGACATTTATATCGATTTCCAATCTGATGCATTCTTTCATGGCGAAGCCAACTTTCTTGATTTGTAAATATTTTATCACAGAAACTACAAGTAAAGGTTTTCTTAGAGTGAGACTGTTTATGGCGGCTTAAGCTATATTTATTACAGAAGCTTTTTCCACAGGAAGTACATCTAAATTTAGCACTTTCAAGAAGGGTTTGTACTTTTCGTTTAGAAGAGATTGTATGTTTAAGTTTTGGGTTATTTTTAGAAGAAGTTGAAGGGATATCCTCAAAATCACTTTCACTAGAAATACTCCCAATAAGAGTTTCATCAACATCTTCTTCCTTGATCTCTACCTTCAGTAATTCAGGGTCATAGTTCATCTTACCTGTAGACGTACTGGGAATAGAAGCACATTCTGTTGAAACTCCAAAACTTTCTGTGTTGGAAAAAATATCTGATGCAGGTGCGACATTATGCGGAAGCGTCAATGCTTGTCTCCTCTCCTGTTGGTAGAACAAAGAGAAATCCATAAATTTTAGCCCTTCTAATATTATTAATGGTTTCAATATAATATTTGAATCACACCACACCACATCAACTTTTCGGTGATATACAAACAAGATAAACAGATCAGTTGTGCCCGAATTCAGGAGAAATCTAGCCAAATTATCAAATATGAAATCTAATAATTAATTCTGATGGTAAATTAAGATGAAAATCTGAGGTGTACATATACCAAACCTTACTCTAAAACAATCCTTTCAGTTAAAAGAATCATTCCATCCTGCTGGCCAAATCATGTAGAGTGCGATGAATCCGTGAATCCAGAAGATGAATCTTGAGGTAGAGCATGAATTAAAATGCATTTTGTTGTCAACGTAAGAAAGAATTATTCTGTAATGAAGAGTCATGAAATTATCGTATTGTAAATTACAGCAGCAAAGTTTTAAATGCTATGGTTTCAAGTTAGTTTAGAAGAGAAACAACTTTTTAAAAAATATTCTGAGTTTACAGAAGGTAAATTTTAATTCATTTGAATGATTAAAGGTTGAAAGATGTTGATTTAATGGTCCTCTCTTCTTGTTTCTGATGAGAAGTCTTCAAGTGCGATGCAGAAGAAATGTAACAAATATTCTTTAAAAAAGTTATTTTGTGTCAGGAATCGGTGAAGTTGATTATTGATATTTTTACTATTAAGTGGAAGGACAGACTCAACAATAAGAAAGTATAATTAAAGAACTGAAAAAAGCAGCTCAGAAGTAGAATTACAATGAAAAAAAAAGCAGATTTGAAGTAAATGAATTTCAATAAATTGAAAATGTTACAAAAATGAAAAATTGTCTGCTTGTTTACGGTAACCAAAACTTTACTTGTAGCTTCTGGAAGAGCTGTAAGGAAAATAATGATAATAAGTTCACTACACACCTTTTGCTTCAGCTTTCCATGGTTTCGCAACAAAGAGTCGACAGCAAGACATTTTTTCTTGAAGTCGTAAGCCCTTTCAACTTGTTCACAACAGCCGTTACACACCTTTGATGGTAAATTCTCAAAATCTGAAATCTGTTAAATATTTAAAATATTAAAAAGTGTTCAAACATACGCAAATCAGTAATTAAGAAGAGATTTTGTTGCTTGTATTACTATAATTGATAAGCTGTCAGATATTTTGTCAAGAAGTACTTCATTAACGTGGGAGCTGTTTGGAACCAATAAGTCTTGCATTGAGCTGCTGTCAGTAAGACATAAGCGGCATTTATCCAGGATGTCATTGGAGTCAATTTCATATATCATTTCCATGATAATTGGGATTAATTTTTATTAACCTGCAAAAAACAAGGCATTTGCTTGTTAGTGTCTTCTATTATGTATCTTTTACTCAAAACAAATAAACGAACACACTGCCAGACCGATTAATAAAGTTAAACGCTTTGATAATCAACTAAAGTGACTTGTTACTTGCAGTTATTACTAGTTACTAGCAGTTATTTGCCAAATATGGCCAAGTGAAATTAGGTTAGGCCACCGGCAAACTCGAACGAAAGCCGAAGCCGAAGCCGAAAGCCGAACCGTAGCCGAACCGTAGCCGAACCTTTGTTGTTGTGGCGCCACTTTACCTTGTGGTTTGAGTTGACAATTGGCAAATGCTTGTCAGAGTCTTTTGTGTCAATCCCCGTTTAAGTTTATTCGCTCCCGAAGTAATAATTGGATTCCAAATCAAAAGAGTTTAATACTGAATAATGACTGCTGAAGAAGAAATGCAGTGGGAGGAATGGGGTGATGTCTGGGAAGAAATTCTGCAGAAAGAAAAGCAGGAAGAGGTTAGCTACAATAACACACATGCTCATGTTCGGTGTTCTCTATGGTATACTGTCGTGTTCTCATTGCTAATTATATTTCTTCATCCGTTTGATATCTAGCAATCAAGGAAATCGAATCCAAAGATCTGTCCATCAGTGGACAACAGTAAGTCGAGTAAGTTCTGCAACTTTACGAGTAAACACTCCAAATAATTTCCACAAATGATTCTGTTTTCCCACTCTTATTGCTCATTCTTACATCATTTTGTTTCGTTTCTAGAACTACCTTCGGCCAAGTACATAGATGTTCTTCAAAGATGTTTTGGACACTCCAGTTTCCGGCCCATCCAATGGGAAGTCATCAGATCTGTAATTGAAGTAAGACACTTTAACAGTTTTATTACGATTTCAAGTCATGTAATTTTTCTGCAAACAACTTTTTTTATTTAATTTCAGGATCGTAACGATAATTGTGTGGTAGTTGCCACAGGCTACGGCAAAAGTTTGCTATACCAATACCCTGCTGTTTATACAGGAGGACTCTCTGTAGTTATATCACCTCTCATATCTTTAATGCAAGATCAAGTTTTGTCACTAAAGGTTCTTCTCATTCCTATTAATATTTCATCAAACCTCTTGTAATGTTTAAAGTCCATGTTGAGAAATGATTCCCATTTAATATAATGATTACAGATGGCTAATATTCCTGCTGCGTTTTTGGGCTCCGCTCAGAAAGAATCAGCTCAGGTCAAAAGAGATCTTTTCGAAAACAAACTTCGTGTTTTGTATCTAACACCAGAGTATTGTGTTGGTTCGAGCATTTTAGAGGATTTATCACAAAAACTTAACATAATTCTGGTAGCTGTTGATGAAGCTCATTGTGTTAGTCAATGGGGTCATGATTTCAGAAATGATTACAGGTTAAATACAGTTTGTTACAGTCTTCTTGTTTTTACTAATTATCACTTCTCATTTTATCTTAATTTTGATAATGTTGCTATAGAAAACTAGGCAAAGTTCGGGCGGCCTTGCCAAATATACCATTCCTTGCAGTAACTGCCACTGCTACTCCTGTTGTTCGGAGAGACATTTGTAACTCCCTGTCCCTCAAGTAAGAATCAAAATTATGTGTACTCTTATATGCTTCATATCCATGAAAATTGAATTGTTTCTATCTAAACCTCCTCTTTATTGTAGGAATCCTAAAGTCACCTGTTCCAGTTTTGATCGTCCAAATCTTTATCTCTCAGTATCCCTGAAGAGTGGTAATCCTTTTTTAGATCTTAAAAAATTTATGGTGAAATCATCTGACAACAGACATTATAAATTTGATGGTCCCACAATAATTTATTGCTCAACCATAAAATTAACTGAAGAATTGTATTCGGTCCTGAAAGGTAGGGTTTGGAATTTTCTTGCTCTTTTGTTTCCATTGTTTCTACACTTCTAATACTTGTGAATCAGTCTCAGCTGACAGCCCTATTTCTTTCATTTCAGATCACCACATTGTTGGTGACTATTATCATGGCAAAAGAAGGCAAGAAGACAGAAATGAAGTTCATGAGAAATTTTTAAGGGATGAGTTAAATGTGATTGTTGCCACTGTTGCTTTTGGAATGGGCATTGACAAACCTGGTAAGAAAATGCAATTAATTTGCCAACAATCTTTCTATTTTTAACTCAGTTTTGTGCGAGATTGTGCCCTACTGTGCCTTCTACAGCATGTATTGCCTAATCTTTATTTTTTAGATGTGCGAAATGTCATTCACTTTGGAGTACCTAAAGATATAGAGTCATATTACCAAGAAATTGGTCGGGCTGGTCGTGATGGTCTACCAGCAAAGTGTCATGTGTTTTATTGCAGAAAGGACTTTGCTGTCAGTGAGTAAGTAGCACACTCGCTCAAAGACTCAGATCTGTATTAGAATTGTGTATTCTTATCCATTTATTCTTCCCTTAGATATTTGCGTGGCTCTAAAGATGTGAAACTTGATGCTCATCGAAAAGAAATGGGGAGACTTATGGAGCGGTATCTAGACTCTACTGCCTGCAGACGTCAAAGTATTTTAACTCACTTTGAAGGCAAAAATCAAGTTTTAGATTCAAAGGAAAATTGCTGTGACAATTGCACAACTGCGTATGTTTGATGTTCTTCAAACTCATTTCCCTTACTTCTTGACCATTAAAATTGGTCAAGCTCTCAATTATTGCTTTAGAAGTATGCTGCTGTAGTTGTTCGGTCATTTTAATGCTTTGTTTATTTATATTTTTCAGGAAAAAAAAAACTGTTTCAACAGGAGAAGCTAGTGCTCACAACCTATATGACTTTACAGAAGACTCTGAACTTCTTTTATCATGTGTTCAATCTCTCAGTGGTAGAGGTCTTGGTAAAATTGTTGCCTGTCTGCGAGGCTTAAAATCCTTCACAGAGAGTCAGAAATATGCTCTGATATTTGGAAAAGGAAAACACAAGTCTGAGGACTGGTGGAAGGGACTCGGTTAGTATCAGTGATTTTTTTTTACAGTTTTATTGAAAGTAAAGAGGATCTAAAAGTGAATCTCTCTTTATCTTCTCTGTTTCCACAAATTATAATAAAACTGTCTCACAGGTCGGTTGCTCATTCGCGAGAAACACATTGAACAGACATACAAGCAATTTGAGTTTGGCAAAGGTTTTCCTTTACCAGTAGTATGCCTATCTAAAAGTGGTCAACATTTACTGTCGAAGTAAGCTGTCTATAAATATATATTTATATATAATAACAATGAGATTTTGTTTTATTTTTTTCATGTTTCTGTCCTGAGTTTTGCATTAACAAGTCATGTATCTTGTTAAGTTTGCAGACTAAGAGAGCAGACACTACCGTAATGCTTGCTCCTGGGCATGAAATGATTAAATTGATTGCGGGCATAAAACGTTCTAAAAGCTCTGCTCAACAAAGTGTTGAATCTGAGTCAAGTGGCGATATAATTCTTTCTATTCCCTCTAGCTCTGATGAAAGAAACAGCCAGGTAATTGATTTCCAGGTCTATATTATTTCTTAATTGTTGTTTGAAAGAATTTTTATGGACTTTTTTCTTTCTTTTACTTTATAGAATTCATTATATCATTATCTGTTGAGAGTAAGGAAAGACAGAGCAATTGAATTAGAATGTGCCCCTTTCCATCTGGCAAGCAATCAAGCTCTGATAGATTTATCTTTATCTAGACCCTCCTCTATCATATCCCTTAAAAGTGGAAATTGTAAGTAATGCCCCATCATTCATAATTTGGATTACTTATCTTTTAACATGTTTAATGTCTTCCCCCTTGATTTTTTTTTTTTATAACCTTTTGTAGTTGATGGCTTTACGGATCTCAAAATCCAGAGAGATGGAAAATTTTGGGTTGATCACATTGTTGGCTTCTGCAAAGAGAATGGTCTTAAAGTAGATGTCCATCAGTCTCTTAAGGATAGTAGTTCTGATGATAGCCCTCTCGACACATTATCATTGAATGTCCAAACATCATATATCAAATTTCAGAAGCAGAAAATGACCCTGGAGGCAGTGATGGCTGAAAAGTTAGTGTTAAACTTGAATTTTATTTCTTTCCCAATATTTTTGAAAGGGAGGAAAAAAGTACCTGATTAACATCGCTTTTGTTTCTTATTTAATCTAGAAATATTGCAAGAAGCACTCTCATAGGGCACCTTAGTCAAGCCTTAAAATTAGGTCTGCCTTTCGATCTTGCTAGAGCTGGAGTCGCAGATGATATTTTACAGTTAATAACTAAGGTTATCTCATCTCCACCAATCAACTCAAGTATGTTACACTGATACAATTTTATAATAGAAGCACTGATTTTTTTTAAGCTCTATGAAACACAGCACTGAGGTCAGACTAAATGCACAATGACATTGTGTGATAATTTCTGTTCACCTATTATTTTCTTGCAGATGTAGGAAAACTAAAGCCAATAAAGGAACAGTGTCCTGATTTTGTAACATATGATCAGCTTCACATTGTAGTAGCATATCTTACAGGACGCTGTCCCCCAAAAGAAAATTCAGATATGAGAAGTGCTGATACCTCCACTTCCAGGGTAAGTTTTAGAAGTATTAGTGCAACAAATGCAATTTTGATGATAATGCATAATATTCTTTAGATGAGAGGAGCTTGAGGTTGATTTACGTAAAAATTTCAGGACCCAACCTCCATACAATCATCTTCAGCAGCCTCAACTACTTCTGGTCAGCTTAGAGGATTTACCTCATCTTCCAAAGAATTAGCTTGTCAGAAAACTGTACCAGCTATGTGGGCATCCGTAAGTCAATGTCTTCATTCATGTTCATGTTGGATTTGTGGAAGTTTTGCCAAAATATTAACCTAGTTCTATATTTTGATACAGGGATCACATGGTGCCACCGATTCCAAAACAAAGTCCTCTAGTGATGCCTTTTGGAATGGTCAATTTTCAGCTGAAGATTCTAATGAAAAAAATGCAAATGATACTAGTAACAGTTATCAAGCCAAGGTGCCTGGTACCGCAACCAGAGAGGAATGCAGACCCACTTTTTCAAAAAATTCTGAAGAACAATCAAGCTCATTAGATGTTTTAAATGAAGCTCATGGAGCATCGCTCGTTGATTGGGATGAGGATTTTTTTGAAGAAACTGAATCACAACCAAATACTTTATCATCCAATGTGCAGCCTGCAAATAGCATAAATCAATGCACTCAAGATATTAAGAGAAGTGCTTCAGTCTTGGAAACCTCCTCTCAAAGTGTTTCAGTGAAGGATGACGAAACAATTTTAAAGAGAAGTTTGTCTGCAGATATTCCTGGTTGTAGTAGTGACACTCCTCCAAAACGAAAAATGCCTCAGTGGCTAACTAAACCTACAGCTCAAGCTGAAATTCGCAAAAAAATGAAAAATAACTCCCTGTTTAAACTTTAAACTGTGATTTCTCACTATGATTTAGGTATCAATTAATGATGAAAAAGATCTTCATCTGTGTTCATTTTTGTTCCTAGCTGTGTAAGTCTAAAGCCTACTCTTTCTTAGAACTTTTCTAATGAACAAAGAAAAGTTGCACTGGTTTTACTTGAAGAGCAGTGCAAAGAGAGAAGTATGTTTTTTAGTCATGAGTATATGTTTCATTTTTTATCCCCATCTACGAGATTATGTTAATTATTTTTGAAAATTTTTGCTTGTTTTGAGAAGTTTCTTCAAGTTTCAGACAATTTTGATTTGTTTGCTTTAAAATCAAACTGGGTTTTGAAATAGCTGCATGGTAGAAAAATATACAATTGCTCACAATGTAATTTAATGTCATTTCTTTGTTTTCTTTCTCAATCAAAGTTCCATTTTGAACTATGAATATTGTCCAGGCAGGGATGGAGAAGGGTAAACACGTTGAGTTCCACGTGACCACACAAACAACCACAATAAGCTGTGATTATCCCCCCCCCCCGACTCAGCGTGTTAACTCACCCACACATAAATTTTTTTTATCGAGGTAAAACAACTGTTAGCGCGAGTGGGTGAACTCGGCGGGTTTTATTTCCCCCGTTTTTTGTCTATTCTGTACAATTTATTTATCCTCGGCACGTTTCTTCTCAGCCCCTGAGCCGCTCCTGCAGCCTTTCTCGCAGTTGCAGCAGGCCGCGTTGCAGGCCCCCACTCCGCAGCAGGAGAATATGTTGACCTTGGTGCCGTCGGCGCACAGGCCCTTGACCGGGTCGACTGGCCAGCAGCACTCGGCCGCGACGAGGCTCTGCGGGGCCAGGTGGGGCATCGCCAGCGCGGCCAGCACGACGGCCAGCCACAGCCTCATGCCTAGCGAGCTCGGAGTCCGGCAGACAATGCAGACGGAGGCGGGAACAGGGCGGTGCAGCCTCGGGTACCGGGCGTTTGCCTGGCGGGGCGCGGTACTCACAATGAGCTGCAGGCGGGTGCCTCGCCGCGGCGTGGCTGCTGACGCACGACCACCCCACTCCCCAGTGACCAGGACTAGCGATAGGCGCTACTCTGTGAAAACGGGGTGACTGCTCGTCTTGCTGTGTGTCGGCCGGGGAAAATAAACACTCCCGTGTGAGATCGGGTATTGATCACAAAGCACGTTTCGTGTCGTTTTATTTGCTTTTGGAATCTGCATCGGGCACGGCTCACAGCTCGCGTGCGTGGCTGGCGAACACCTTGAGGCCCTCGAAGGTCTGCTGGACGGAGGTGAGGATCCTGCTCGCGGGCAGGTCGAAGCCCTGGGAGCCTCCGCCGTGCAACTCGATTGTGTAGGACTTGGCGATGTCGGCCTCGCCCTTCGCCCAGTCGTCGCTGCCGCCGGCCGCGGGGTCTGCGGATGCAAACGCGATTGTGATACGGAGCGCGAGGCGCAGCGGACTTCTGCTCGCCTGCAGCAGGCGTTTAGCGCTTGTACTCACATAGCTCGGCGCTGTTCTCCACCTCGAAGGGCTCCGAGCCGGCCTTCACCATGGCAGCGTTGGCCTCGTTGCCGATGTCAGCCTGGGGGATGTTAATAACAACGTCTTTATCCCGTCTTCCCCCCGGGAAGCGCCGTGGCGCAGGCCGTGCCGTCGCGCACGGGAGTACCGCGGGAGGGCCTACCCGGCGGCTGGCAGGCGCTCTGGCGCGGCGACTGCGCGAGCTCGGCGTAGCGGGTGTAGCGCGCGCGCCATCAGTGGTTCACTTTTCCACTTACCAGTTGCTTGGCGTCGGGTGCGGGCTCAACCCTGTAGTCGTAGCCCCACGGGTAAAGGATCATCTGAAAACAACAAAGTTTTAGGTTGGCAACGCGATTCGTGGCTCATACTGCTCCAACGAAGCTGAGGCCGAAACGCACTGGGCCGTAGCTGTGAAGGGTGAGGTACATCTTGAAGCGTTTGTCCTTGTTGGCATTCAGGACGAAATCTCGCAGGTTCTGCGACTCCACCTCGGAAAAGGCCTTCTTGCCCGCAAAGGTCTCGGCGCATGGGTATGAGCTGGCACCGCTCTCTGATAAAAATTTCGCTGGGTTATATTCGGTTTGGTTCAATGAATTGTAGGAAATTTGTCGGTATTAACCGCCTCGCTTACGCATCCAGTGGAAGCCGAAGTTACGGTTGAGGTCCGCGCCGGGCTCGCATAGCAGGTCCCACAGCCATTTCAACCAAGTTTCTCGTTTCGCCCCCCGGTTTTTGCGCCAGAAACGGCACCCAGAAGACCGTTTAGTCCATATAACCAAATTCAAAACCGACGAAATTTTAGCTCTTGGGACTAAAATTTTATTCGTGGTGATGAAATAATTTGGTCTAGATGACTTAATTTGATTGGTGCGACTATATTTAGTTAAAAATAGGGTTACTAAATTTTAGTCGGTTTTAGGAACTAAATTTTGGTTCTTACAACCCTGATTTAGTTGTATCAACTAAATGGTTCTCTGGGTGGGTCCTGAAAGGTATCTCAATTGTTAACATTTTGCCTGAACAAGATAATGATGATGTGTGATGTCGGTACGAACTTTGGTATGCGTGTATTCGTAGCCGTCTGGGTTGACGACTGGAAGGATGTACCAGTCGAGTCCCTGCAGCAGGGCCTGGTGCTCGTCGGCGTGCTCCACGAGGCGGTTGATGAGGTAGAGCGCGGTGGCGGGCGCGATCCACTCGCGGGCGTGGATGCCGGCGTCCACGAGGATGGCCCTGGGCGCGTTGCCGCCGTCGAGAGACACGCGGATCGCCGTCATGTTGCGGCCCTCGTAGCTCTTGCCGACCGAGTGCAGCGTCACCAGCTTGGGGTACTTGGCCGCCAGCTCCGCCAGGTACTGCTCAATCTGCGCAGGCCAGATGTGCCAACAGAAGTAGGAGAAGGGGTCGTCGGGTCACGCTTACTCGTACAACACTCGGGCGTCCTACCTCCCCATGGCGCATGTACGTGTCGAATCTGACGGATGAGCCTGCGTCGTCCCGCAGCAGCGCGCGGCTCCTGGTCTGGTCACGGGCCTCCCGCTCAACCAGGCTGGGGGCACACGCACACACACCGTGAGCACGCGCCGGTGGGCGGCCCTCCGGCAGGGCGAGGGACCCCTCTCTTCTACCGCCCCTTGTCAACGCTCACGGAGGGAGGAAGAGAAGAGAGGGGTCCCTGCTGGCGCGAGAGCCTCCTGGCGCGAGATGCGGACCCCTCCCCTCCCTACCCCTCCCACCCCTGCAGCACGCACCTCTGCACGTCGTGCTCGCCGAGGCTGTAAGGCACGCCCAGCTCCTCCAGGCGCTGCAGCACGCGGCGCTGTGCCGCTCCCGGCGCCACCATGAAGGTCACCGTCGCGCCCGGTGCCGCCCTGCGGCTCCACATGTCCACCCCCGTCCATGTTGCCAGGGCCCGGAGCTCGGCGGCGTCCTCGGCGCTCCTGGGCACGGCGTTCACCAGGCGATACCTGCGGGTCAATCACGGCGCTCGTACAGGACAGCCCAATTTTTCCTTTCCTGTGCCTTTTCAACGCCTTCGTTCTCGCTTCACCGCCAGTTTAGCTCCAATTTCAGTTAGCACTGTGCGGCCCGGCCTACTCGTCCAGAAAGTAGGCAGTTTTCAGCCTTTAAAAGGCTTTTTGAAGACAAGTCATATTACATTTGGATTAGCATTTATTCTGCAAAGTAAGCTGGAGTCGCAAGGCACGGCGCCCTCGATGCTCGGGGTAGGCTACCCCGCAGTACACGCATGCACTGGAAGCAAGATTCTGCATACCGACCAGGCGCTATGCGAACTGCTTGCACATGCTAAACTTGACAAGTTCGTTGCGCGATCCACGGATGTACTTTCTGGATGATCCTCAAAGCAACTAATAAAAGTGTGCTGCTGCTACACACCTGCCTGGTACATCCAGTAGAAGAGTTGTGTTGGTCTGCTAGCACACCTTAGAAGTGGCAACCACCTTACGGCAAGTTGTACTATATTAGAACATCTTGAAAAAGTATCTATGGTCTGCCCCAGTACCGCTTCATCAAGTCTGACTGACAGTCATGACTGGGTTTCAATGTGTTCTTGGAGAGGGCAACTAGGCGCGTGCTCTAAGGTGTGCCCGCCCAAGGGAAGTGACACAAGGAAAATGCGTTCTATTTTGGGATGCAATAAGCGACTTATTTGGCGTTCTCCTACGTGGCGAGCGCGAACAGAAAAAACACATGATTTACAGTGTACTGTAGCTTATCTGGAGCTTAGATTGCTGGCATACTCGGGAGACGGTTCGGGGGAAGTACCAAATAGCAGCTAATTACGTAGAGTGAATGCGGCCCCCATTCCAAGATAAGCCAGATTACACGTGACTTGCAGGGATACTTTGCATGGATATCAATTCAATAAATCGACGATTATCACAAACACTCGAACACCGATTTGTCTATGCCAGAGGAGAAGCAATAAGCCCCCATCATAAAACTCTAGACCTGCTGTTCTTTCCTAAATCTACGAAAGCGGGTGCACCACATCATTCAGCTTTGCCTTGAATGAGATCCTGACCTGGCTGCGGGCGTGAGGTGTGGCAAGTTTGACCAGACTGAGGTCACTTCCGCTCGCCCGCGCTCGCCGCTCATCCAAGGGCAGACATAAATCTCGGAACCAACTAATCCCCAACCTACAGAGGGCTAGGGAATGATGTGTTGCGAGAACTTACCCGTGGTAAGACCTCGGCGAGGCCGCTACGGTAATGGCCATGGCTAGCAGAATGGCCGAGGCCAGCGAGCCTCGAAGCTGCACCATGGTGCGCAGAGCCGATCGGACGGCGGTAGTCAGTCGACTGAGGGTCCAGCGCGATCTCGAGTACGGACTGGGTATCAGTGTCGAGTGTCCGTCAGAAGGGCGTTTCCAAACCCAGTGCGAGGTGAGATATGAACTTACCCAAGCAATAGAGATTAATCAATAATTGGCCAAACGATAGTAGTGACATCACTGCTAGTTAACCATGATGTTTTTCAGATTAAGGAATTTGAGAGTCAAAATTACATCAGATTCCACAATCAGAAATAAAATTGTGCCTAGTTGGCAGTGACGTCACTGTACTACAATAATTATTGATGAATCTCTGTTGCTTGGGTATAACATGAGTAAATTGAGTTGAAATGATAAATGAGTTATTTCCGGGAAATTTATTGAAGGTAAATCCATAGCTTAACATGCAAACACACATTATCAAAAGGTAAAAATTATGCCATGGTCAAGTGACAGAACAGGTCCAAAACTTTGTAAGAAAATAGTCAAATTTCACACATCTGAATTCTTGTTTTTGTGTTTGAAAAGGAATAAGGGAACACATCTATTTGGACAAAAAAAAAAATGTGGCCACTTTTTTTTTAAAAAAAAAGCCCTCAGTTCTTGGGAACCACACAGATTAGTTCCTTTTTTTAAAACCCTGCCCATGATAAGAAAATACACTCTTAAAATCAGCAATGATACACATTCTGAGAGAAGAGGCTTATTGCAACACCTGTAATAATCAATGGCTTGCAGTAAGTCTCTTCTTTACATTCACATTTCGATATGTATATCTTCAATAATTTGATCAGTCTACAAACCAAGATGAAACATGAAGAGAGTTAGTTCACAAATCCTTTGCAAATAATGAGGTCATAAGTATTGCACTCAAGAATATCTTTATAGCAAAGGGCTCACCAGTACATTAACACGTCGAGTGCAGTGTGACACACTCCGTGGGTCACAATAACAAAGGATTGCACACCCCTGCCACATGCTAATGATGTGTTTTTTTTTAACCTCCACATAAAGACAGTAAAGAGTAACAGTGAGATTGTCCAAAACGGTGTCAATGACAATTTCTCTCACTTTAAAATCATATAACTTTCATCAATTTCAAAGAGATACAGTAATTGCTTTTGAAATAGCCGAACTTGATATTGGTGGAAGGTTCACCTGATCTTTAAAGTACTTAATTACAAATACACATACTTATTGAAACAGATTAGTTGTTGTGCTTATATTAACAGGTGATGTAAACTGTGCATTTCTTTTGAGAGAAACAGTTAATTGGATAATGAAAGCATAACCATACATGACTGTTAAAGAAAATGGAATGTAAAACAGAAAAAATGTTGAAAGCTATTGGGATAAATTGCACAGCAGGGTACGCTCACTCCCACTTTCTGAAAGTTTCAGGGCTCTGTTCAACTGTCTCTCTCACACCACAGATCATCTAGTGGGAAAAGAGAGAAGGATTTTAAAATACAAACGAAAAAAAAAAAAAACAACCCTGAAAGTTGGAGTATACAGACACTGCTGCAGAGGTAGAAAAAATGTGACAAAAAATATTGGTAATAAACAAATTGTGGATGAATACTTCAATGATAAATTGATTTGGACTTAATGTTTTTGGTAGTCCTTTACTATCCTAGCACGCATACTGTATACTTAAATCTAGAAAAATAATGCTTATATGTATGACTCATCTTCATCAAATAAAATGACTTAATACTGACAATCTGACTTTTCGCTCAGTAACACCGTGCACACCTCAAGAAACTGGTACCATGCAACCAGACATTAAAGATTGAAATTCTCAAAATGAGATTTGTTTGAACACAGTGATCCAACACCTTGTTTCTTGAACTTTTATTGTACAACCAAAGAAATAAAAGTTTTATTTTAAAAGAGTATGCTATTTCTCCAAAGTACTGTAATTCCATACTAAAGTCAGTTTTCTACCAATTAAAACTTTGTGGAACATTAGTGGCTTAACACTATTCAATTTCTTTCAGACTTTTCCTTTCTAATCAGACAAAAGCTTTTGGAATGTATAAAATTATACAATACATTTCTGGGAACACACATCCATAACAAATGAGATCACATAGATGTGGAATGTTCCAGGTACAAGTAAATACTGGAAGTAAAACAAAAATATTCTGCTCATATTTTTAGATGATTTTTACAAGTGGATTTTTAAGCTAATATTGAAATGTTTTTAAGCACAGAGAAGAAAGAGGGGACAATATATAATATTTCAAATATATCACATAAGCTCAGGGGAAATATGTGCACACAATAATTTACTTCCTAATCTTAAATGCCTGGAATGACTGGAATGACTATCGCAACACCTCATCCAAATTTGAATTCAACAAACTAGGATAAGAGAGGAAGAAACTGTATCTTACACTCAGAGAGCAACCACACACATACATACAAACACACACATTTCCAAAAGGATATAGAAAACTTAAAAAAAGATGTAAATGAATGCATTTTCTTGAAACTGTTTTAAATCACTGTGAATGTTACTCATTCAGTATATCAGTGATGGGAAGATCAACATACAGAAAGTCTTGACACAAAAGTAATAAATGAAGAATACTAACACACATCACTTAAGTTTCTGTTTGCAGTCTTATGGAAAAACTAATTTCACAAACAACCTATCCTCAAACAAAGCTCCAAAGCTGAACAAGTTTTGAGATAGAAACTATAATTTTAAGCTGAAAAAGGACATTTGTTTGGTTGAAGCAAATGTACTTGTCTTAAATTTATCACCACAAATAAGTTGTGGTGGTAGTTTTCGTACTTGTGTTTATAATTGTTGTCTGTTTTTTTGTTTTGTTTTTTAAACACAGACAATAGATTTATTTTGCCAGTATTAAAGAATAACACATTTAATCAGTACAATAAATAAGGAATAGAAATTCATATTCACACCTTAGTGTTACGCATATATGAAGTATGGGGACAATTCTACTGATGATGTTTCAAAAAGTGACTGAGTAAACTACCTACAGTAAAACACACACAAAAAAGACCCATGCAAGATACTTAATACTTCTTATACAGTATTTACATCAGCTTAATCACTAACTCAGTTCAAGTATTGCACAAAGGTAAAAATTAGAGAATTTTTCATTCTGAATAAAAATTTGGTCAATCGCTTTTGGTCAATAAAAACACAGCAAGTTGACAATAGAACTTGCATCTTGTTTGGCACATAGCAAAGTAATCTTTGGAATTTTATAGGTGAGTGTTGAAACACACAAACACACACACAATAGACTGCTATGACTATTTTCACACTCAAAGAACTGATTCCGTTTAATCTAGAACTCTAACTAGTAGAATGCAGTGCATTTTTGGCTGAGTTCGTTCGTATATTTCACCATTGCTCATTTCATTGATAAGCAATGATTTCACATTTTTCTTTTCACTTTTCTCAGCCTTGCTTGGAGCCAAGTTTATTTTGTCTGCAAGGTTGGTAGCAATCTGCTTCGCTAACTTATTGGACGTGAAACTTGGCTTTGTCGGATAGTAAAGTACAGTACAATACTCTTTTAGTATAGTTCGAACTCAGCCAACATTAAGTCATGAATCATCATTCATAAGAGTTAAGAGAACTCATCCCTTGGGGATACCATGAAATGAGAAAAGCTATAAATAAATAAATTCAAAAAACAACTAAAAAGCACAAATAACAAAACCAACATTGAAAGCAAATATTCTTTCCAGTTATAATAAATATGCACGTTTATCACAAGAGTAAAAAAATTTCCTAAGGGAACACCTTGCCATTTACTCCATGTTTCCGGTGCTTGATCAAGCTGGTGCGATCGTGATCAATAATAATAAATAATAGAGTGAAGGTTATAAAATATAAAAACTAAAATAAGACAACAGAAACAACTTGTAAGAAACAATAAACAGTAAGATGTTTCAGATTATTTAAAAATCTAACAAAAGAGAATATTTGTATGCCATCCCCAGGCATTTAGATAACATGGAAAGGGGAAAACATTCTCCTACACCTCTATGAATAGTAGAAATTTTTGTACCAAAATATTTACATCTATAAAATATTACATCTTCATTGAATATATGGCCTTTAGACAGTTTATTCTACTTGAGCAGTTAACAGAACCTTCCGAAAGAAAAGCCTCTGAGACATCCCATTCGTTAACTGCAAGATGCTGGTTGTCATAAAAAAAAAAAATCTATATCTAAAGATGATTGACATTGCCAATAGCAAAATTGGCACACCTGAATACCTAAAATAACATTCTAATAAAATAGCTTACATCTTTGTTTGACATTTGATTTTTTTTACAAGTACAGGGTAGAAGATAAGAGAAACTCTTGCCTATCACACAAATCTTCCTTTAAAATTCAATGAATCCAGAAGAGAAGATTGTGTCTAATAACTTTCAGTCTGGGAAAGGTCTGATTACAAAATAGCTTTGGATTTCTAAAGTCAAGGATCAAGTCTTTTTAGAGATATTTGGTGATGTACTTTAAGAGAAGTAAATTTACATTGTTGCCGATGTGTATGATAATCATGGTGCGCATTGCAGCATTTAAAAAACCTGAAATTTACATTTATCAAATTTAGCACAGCCTTCTTGACAACCAGCCAATATCCTCACTGGATGTCTAATGAGAGACATGTAGATACATAAAAAATGGAAGAATCAGTTTGTGATATCCGCAAATCATTCTTCTCTTAAAATTTAGGATAATGAAACTTATCAAAATTCCAGGGTGGTTCAAGGTTGGGAGTTAATAGGTTCCGCTAAATGAACAACTGATTCCACTGCATTACTTTCTTTACTGATGAAGTCAGGTGGCTGGTGGTGGGTAACTTTAGAGCTGAGTTGGAGAAGCATGTCAGCTGCTGCAATGCTATTTCGGGGAAGATCATCAAGTCCACTGCTAAATTCTGTCATGGGATGCCCCATCATGAATGCCTCTGGATACGAATCTTGGTATGAATCGTACTGGAAAAATAAGATGAATGAACATGTTTTCATTACTTCTCTCACACTAGGCAAAACAGAAATATTAATCTATTAAGACAACTCATACCTGTCGTGGTCTTCCTCTAGGTCGTTTTCCAACCAGTGACTTGGGCATTCGAGGTGCTCTTTGTTTAGGTCCTTGGATGTTACTATCATGGTGCCGAGTAACATGCTGCTTCACTTTATCTTGACGAGCAAATCGTTTTCCACAAGTGACAATGGGGCACTGGAATGGTCTTTCACCTGTGTGTGTTCTCCTATGTCGTTCCAAGTGCGAAGATCGACCAAAGGACAGTTGACAAACATCACATTGATGAGGACGAGGGTTAGCAGTAGTATGCATCTGAACATGACTGTAAGAAATACAAAACATCATTAGCTACCTTCAGTTGAGAAAACTGACTCATAAATAATAACAGGATATAAAAGAGACTCACGCTCTCAACAATTCTGGTGATTTCAAATCCATGAAACAGAAAGGACATACTGTAGATGCTGACACTTTTATGTCACCGGGTGACACTTTAAAGTCACCAGAAACATCACCATTAGTTTCTTTGTGAATTACACCGTTAGCTGTCTCACCCTCAGTGAATGTAGATTCACACAAATATCCTGAAAGATGAACAAGAAACAACAGTAGATTAAACGCTGGAAAACATGCAGCTAAGTTTCTTATGTTTCTGATGAAACTCACCAACACCATCTTCCTCATCCTCTTCCCTTATAACAAGTTCTCCACTATTTTCATCTTGGTTGAAGTCATCATCTTCAGAATCTTGAATCTCTCCACCAGAGTTGGAGTCGATTTCATGAATTTTTCCCTGGGAAGATGTCACATTTCCTTCAGAAAAAACTTTTGATGGACCATTTTGGGGTGGACGATCTTGATTACGAGCATGGACACCATTTCCATTTGTCATAGGGATGCTTAAGTCAATTCCGTTGGTAGCAGGTGATTGCACAGAGTGCACAGAAGCTGATTGTACAACAGGTTCTGGGGAACCGTTGCCATTGCTCTGGGAAAGATTTGTTGGTGATGAGCTATCTATTTTCATTGCAATTTTCACTTTCGAAGGGCTATCAATTGGTTGAGGGGATGGTCTTTTCTGTCCTGTGCGAGATACTTGGTGGGCCTACACAAATTAAAAATTTCAATGTAATTGGATTAAATAAAAACATGGTCAGATTAAAATACAAACCCAACAATAAACTCACCTCTAAGTCAACAAGTTCATGGCTAACTGACGCGGTAGCAGCATCTTCTGGTACAACCTTTGATATAACAGGAAGTCTGGACTTTGGTGCAGCAATGCGAGTTGTAGTATTATTTGAAGAAGCAGATGGTCGTGCTGCATTTTCACTGGCAGCCGGCTTTGGTTTGCTAGGAAGACCTTTCCCTGAAGCTACAGTTGTTTCAGTCTGACACCCATAAGCGAGTCCTCGTATTTGAAGATCAGTGGCTACTTGAATAAGAGGCTGAAGCTCCGAATCAAGAACGTCAACTTCACCCCTGTACATGTACTCCAAAAGAGTAGACATTTCATGATGTTTAATTTCTCTGAATATGAGCACTGGGTGCTTGCAGGGATTATCTTTGAAAACTAATTCAAAATATGGACTACAGGCTGAGAGAATCAATTTATGAGCCTGCAGCTTCCCATCTGGGCAAGATATAGTTACATCTGTAAAGGCCTGATCATAGTACGACCTTTCAAATAGAGTGCGCATACTCTCCATATGATTGTCCCATCGTAGATGGAATGCTTTCTTATCTGAGGTTCCCATTCTCTAATGCTGTTGAGAGAATCACATCAGCAAAATATCTGAAAAAGGAACAAAGTGAAACTAAATTAGTAGCATGCAAACAAATTTTTAGTTAAAAATTCTTCATGAGTCAAAGATAGCAACTTTTAACAAAATGTGTAAATAATCAACATTGAGGATTTGATTTGAGTAAAAGAAATGTTCTGTATATTTCTGTAAGGAATGCTCCCCTCTCAAAGAACCAAAATTATAAGACAATGTAAAAGAATAAAGTAATGTGGAAGGGGTTATTTACAGCTGTTCAGTTTGACATTTCCAGTCACATGACCTGTCACATAACCTGACCCCTTGTTATGACATTTCACGGGGAAACCCCCTACTGCACGGATAACTATAGTTCTCGAAGAGTCGCAACCCGTTGAGTGTTCAATCTTATCCCCCTCACTAGCCGAGTGACTCACCGGACTCACCCCCGCCGCTCACCACCCCAACACAAAGCCACCCGGCCCGGCCCCGTCGGGGACGCCGACTCACCCCCTCGCCCCGAACCCCAACCCCGTTCCTCACCCCTTAGACTGACGGAATACCCGCTCCAGCAATGGGCCCCTGATTTCTCCGTGAAACTCGCACCTCGGAGATAGGCAATTCGGGCAACGGTAAACGGCCAAACCAACAGAAAGGCGGAAAACCCCACCTCTCTTAAGTCACCCCCAAAACTGTTTGTAAACAAGAGGGGAACGCCTTGAGCCAGACGCGGGGGAAGCAGCCGAAAGGTGAACCTCCGCCTGGATTACGAACCGAGGCGCGAACACATCCACGAATAAACTTGCAGTAAAACACGGGCTCTCACACGCTCAGGCGATAAGAGGGTACTGCGCTATGGTCGGAGGGTACAAGTCCTACCCCCGCTGCAGCCATCCGCGTTATCACAACATGGAGACGGTTCGGGTCGCAGCGCTACGCTCCCCTCCTTTCTCCACGAGCGTCCGCCGCCCCCTCCCTCTCTCTCTCTGTACCGACGCACTTACATCACCCCACCGGTAATATTCCGCGAGTAAAAACACTATTCTTGAGTCTGGCACTGCACTTTTTACCTGGAATTCGAACACACTTTGAGCGCGGACACGCTAAAACGACGCACCCCTTCGTCGCCTTTCTCCGCTCGGTGCGAGCGACGTCGGGTCGGGTCGGCGCCGCGGCGTGCAGATTCCCGTCCCGTTCCCGACGTCGGGTGGGGATGGGGGGTGCGCCGGCGGCCGCGCGGGCGAGGAGGGGAGGTAGGGGTAGGAGCAGAGGGGAGGAGGGGACCGACGCTCCGCGTCGGAGAGGGGGGAGCGTCCAGGGGGTTGTAATCGATAGAAAGACGGTACACTCACGTCCTCAATTACCGGCAACGACCGCCCTGGTATTTGGGTCTTGTCGCCCCAGTGGACATCAGTGCAGAGCCTTCACCGTGTCCAGCTGCGTCGTCTCCGGGGCTGGCGCCGTCGCGCTAGCGATCGACCAGGTAAATCTAGCGACGAATTTGGCGCTTTGGTACTCCGTGACCGGACTGTACCGCCTGTACCATCTCCCCTTCTGCTCTATTCTGACCCTCTCCCTCTCCCCTCGCGGACGGCGGCGGCGGCGGCGGCAGCACCCCCACCCCCACCCCCTCAGACCTTCTGGCCCTCCCTGCGTTCTCCCTCCGACGGGACTCATTTCTCCAGCCGAGGGACGCCTATGGTGTACCCCCCCCCCCCCGCTCGGATAGTGATAAGGGTCCGGTTCGAAGTTTCGGATTTGTAAGTACTTTGATCCTCGGCCCGTCCATTTCGCAATGTGTCCCTGCCCTTACTCCCGCCTCCCGCCTGCTGGATCTGCCCTTGGAAATATGCATAATGAACACGAACCGGAACCCCATTCACCCCATTCTTCCCTCCCCACATGCACCCCACGCTTTGCCCCTCGCAGCCCTCGTAGTCGTAGCCCTTGCAGCCCTCCACTTTTCACCCTCCTTCCCCCCTTCCCTCGCCGCGAGGGGCTTGGGGTGGCCAGGTCCCGGGGTCCCGGGTTGTCCTGGTGATGGGGTGTACGCGGTGTCGGAGTGCCCCCACCCCCTTCCCCCGGGGGCTACCACCACCAGCACCAAGCACCACCCACTACCCCTCCCTCCCTCCTGTCCATGGAACACAATGGAACTTTCCAAAGCCGGCGCCAACGCCCCCCCCCCCTCTGCCAAGTTGAGCGCCAGAGGGAAGCACTTGTATGCACTAAAGTCCCGTCGGTTCCCTCATTGCCCCCGCTATCCGCTATACCACCCCACATTTACACTCCAGAAAAAATCTGCAGCCTAGGTATTTTACTCATAATTTGTGAACGGGGAATTCTGTATGAAAGGATTTGTTGTTGTTTTTTTTGGGGGGGGGGGCAATAGGGCAAGTACAGTTATCCGTGCCTTTTTATTTTTCTCCCAACAAGCATTAAATAACACATTTTGCTTAGGTAATGCGTCGGAAATGTGGTGCTTATTGGGCACATCTTGATGCGCACGGCCGCGTTTAATGCACATTAATGTGCACGGGCGCTACTAGGGTAACGGTGTCGTGTAAATAACCTGCCAACAATGGCGCTTTCACTATTCTCAGGATTCTCTGTCGGTGTTGACGAGTGACGTCGCTTCCTCATCCGGTTTAGTTTTACACGCAACCACACGCCCCGTCTCCCGTCTGCAGTCCACGACATAGTTTCGCCATATTTGTTATTTTGTTTTTTGTGCCGGCAAACAATTATTTCTCGGACTTCACGCGCTGTGCGTGTAGATTGATGGCGGATCCTGTTTTAGTCTGAGTGAGTTTCTTTGTGGTCTCGAAAAAGTCCTTTATAAAGACTGCGTTACTGTTACGTGCGTTACATGCAGAGCCGCTTGCCATTCGTTTTTTATAATGGTCATATTGATCCCTCGGATGCCCTTGGTTACTTGTTATTAGTTAGAACTGAATATCTCTGTTGCATTGAGTGGTGCGCTTCTGAAATGTCTAGCGATTGTTACAATTACTGTACGGTTGCCATTGTTGAGGTTATGTGGCGATCTGTCGCCTTCCAAACGGTTTTCGGTTTTAACCCAGACTGTTTCTTCTAGGTATTTTGAAAGTCGAGCTTCGAGATGTCACGACACCGGGACGGTCCATCCGACTGTAAAGTCTACGTTGGAGATCTAGGTAAGCTCAGATGTACTTGGTGAAACGGTCCAGTACATGCCCATTTCTGTCAGTCTAGTGGAAGACTGCATGATGATAAGATGTAATGAGTTCATTTGCAAAGAGATGAGTTGTGATGCCTAACATGCCAACCATTACTACACTGTATGTATTTTTCATTTTTACAGGATCGTCTGCTTCCAAAGCAGATATTGAAGATGCATTCTCCTACTATGGGACACTGCGAAATGTGTGGGTTGCTCGGAACCCACCGGGATTTGCCTTTGTGGAATTTGAAGATGCTAGGGATGCAGATGATGCTGTTAGAGGCCTTGATGGGAGGTACGTGTTTTGGTGAGCGAACTTCTCATATCTATTCCACTGAGATTTTACCTAATTTAAGATTTTATTGCTAGGATGGTCTGTGGACGGCGTGTAAGAGTGGAACCTTCCTGTGGGACAAGAACAGGTCGCTTTGGTGGATTTGGCCCCCCATCCCGCAGCAGAAGTCGTCCTTTCCATCCTGAAGATCGCTGCTATGAATGTGGTGATAGAGGCCACTATGCCAGAGATTGTTCTCGCTTCCGCAAGGGAAGCAAAAGGTATGTTTATATTAACATTTTATCTTTTTACAACAGACATGGAGAGCAGCAATTTTCTATTCATCTGGCAGCAAATTAACTTTGCTGATTACCTGATCATCTCTCAGTTGAAATGTTTGGATCAGTTCTTTTAGTGTTTGCATTTTCGAAGTGGGCAGTGGCTGTTTGCATAGCTTGTATGGGCCTGAATTTTTATCATTTCTTCAGTTAAATACATATTTAACTATAGTTTAGGTCAGTTTCTTTATAACAGTCCTTAAAATATAGAGGGAAAAGGGGGGTGGGAGTGATTGAACAAAGATATGCATAGGTATTCTTAGAATCATAATCAATGTGGTTTTTCTTATGCTTCTGGTGTTGGAAGTTGTTACTGTGTGCAAATATCACATCTTATTGAACTTGATGAAAAGTTTCTGTGGCGGGCAAGTTTACCTTTCCACCAATCATCTATCTCCTTTCAGAATCTCTCAGAAAGGTCGCTCACAAAAGTGGGGGCACTTATCAAATAATCTATCGGGCCACAAGAGCCACATTTTTGGTCCTCTGTGCCTTCCTGATTGTTTTGGGCATTGTAGCAAATCTACTCAAACTGAAACTAGAGAACTAATCTGCCTACCTGGTTTTTAAAACAGCAGAAGTATAGTGCTGATAATTAGTGCTGGCATTGATTGAATGTCTTCCTAACATTTTTGTAGGAAATACGGCTGACCGTAGAGATTCGTTCTTCACTGACAAAACATGAACACTTCTCCAAGTTTTGTGGCATGGTGGGCCTTTCTCAGCACCCGCCACTGCCTCAATCCGATCGAGCTACGCCCGACTTAAACTGATTAGACAAGCTCCTCGTTTCTGCACTGCGTGCTGGACAACGAGATGCAATCTATCATGCCGAGTTCGGTTTGGCTAGTTCCTTCTTGCCCCTTGCCCAACACTGCTCCAGTGCTCATCGAGTCGCCCTTCAAGTCAAACTACAAGTTGATCTTCGAGTAACTCTTCAGATCGTCTCATCTAGATGTCATTTGATCTTGCACTCAATGAAGCAAGCAAGCAAGCAAGCCAGCATGCACGCACCCACGACTTGTTGATTCTACGTATCCATTCGTCGAGTCATTGCTCAAGTCATGAGTGAGTGCTGTATCTAAAATATTAACTTGCATAGATTAGGTGTGCTGGTTACTTAATTCTACAGTCATCTTGATTACTGGGAATAATGATTTCTTTCAAATGTTGCCCCTGTAATTCCAGGCAACATTCGTCAAAATTTTAAATAATGAATCACTTAATCACCATGGCTGAAACTTCCCTTGCATGCTGGTCTAATGAACTGGTAATTTTCCGAGATCCTCTCAAGTTTACTCAGTTTTATGCAGGCGTGATAATTTTGATGAAGTGTAGGTTTTGTGCTGCACCTTGCAAGTATGAAAGGTTACAGTGACTCCTAACTACTGTACTCACATCAAAATTTTATCTTAGTGCATGTAAATAAATTGCAAGGTGCACCACATTTAACTTGGCATTAGTTTTCCTCTTCAATAACAGGATTGGTATTGTTCTGCAGACTTTTGTTTTGTCTCATCTTTGCTGTTGAAGTCATTTTCTTGATTCTCTCTAACTATGCAGATTGCTCCATTTTCTCTTACTCATTTTCTTCTCTTCCTAGAAAGAAGAAAATGTTAGATGGAAGTAAAATTAGTTAATGGAAGCTCACATATCCTGTATTTTCAAGGTGGTCGTTGGATTTTATGGGGGATTACAAATATAAATAGTTTCTAGTCAGTGTCTGTTTTTGTTGGTACTGTTTTATTGTTTTGTAGCTGGAATGCTCATTCATTCATGCATGAGTAAAAACTAGTAATTTGTTTTGGGGATGAAGAAAGTATTACCTTTCTCAACCATTATGCAGTTAAGCATGATCTAAATAATCAAATGATTAAATTAAATTTAAAGGGGCCCTTTTTGTCAATATATGGCATGCATTCATGAGTTTTAGGATTCCGGTACTGTTCCATCAGAAAGAGGAGATTCATGATAAGCTATTTGCATGCAGCCCCTACTTACAGGAGGGAGGGAGGCCTTTCTACACAAAGCATTTTAGGTTACATGCTCTTGATTTCTCAATAACTCATGCTGTGGGGCTATTAATGCAGACTATTGTTTCTTGTTTTCTTTTTCCTGCAGTGAGCTTTTAAGCTTGCCATTGAGTGGTATAAGAGCTAAGAAGAGCACTTCTGCTTTCTGAAGCTTTGTATTGCTTAGAGTCTAATCTGACAGTTCCACTTACGCCTAACATTCGACATTAGATAAGAATCAATAAAAATTCAGGTGGAAGATCCCGTATTGCCACTAATTGCATTAACATTGCCTCTCTGCACATTGCTTTATGTTTGCGGCTCTTAGTGGCTGATAGCCTTTAAAGTCCTGGTAGCCACCTCCGGAATGTCAGAATGGGACAGGACATTCATGCTAAGAAATGTTGCAAGCCTGCTCAGCAGGCTTGCACCACTTCCTCCATGTAAATCGAATATGCCCTATATTGTTTCCTGGTTACTTATACCAGCATCTGTTTTTACTTTTTTGACAGGTCAAGATCCCGATCTCGCGACCGGCGCTCTCGTTCCCGCAGCGATTCGCGGTCGAGGTCCCGCTCCCGCTCCCGAAGGCGTTCCCGGTCGAAGTCGAGGAACATGAAGCGATCACGGTCTCGCTCCCGCTCTGGCATCAACCGTAGCAAGCGTTCACGCTCACGCTCTATCTCCCGCAACAAGAAGAGAGATCGCTCTGTTTCTAGGAGTCGTTCCAGGTCTAAGTCGAGGTCCAAATCTCGTTCTCGTTCTCCTGCTTTGAAGAAAAGTCGTTCAAGGTCCCATTCCAAATCTAAAGATGCATCCAAGTCTAAATCCAAGTCTAAATCAAGGTCGAAGTCCCGTTCCAAATCCAGATCAAAGTCCCGTTCTAAATCCAGATCAAAGTCCCGATCCAAGTCTAGATCGAAATCTAGATCCAAGTCTCGGTCCAAGTCCAGATCTCGTTCCAGGTCCAAGTCAGAGTAAGTACGCTTGACCAGACAAACATTTTGGTTCCCTGCTATCAGTTCTAAAACTGCAAAACATTGTTTCAGAACAAAGGCTGACGAGTCTCCTAAGAAGGAAAATGGAAATGCTGAATGAAACCCTCATGTGATAGTGAGCAAGACTTGTCCTTTGTTTTGTTTTAAATGTTAGAGTTCTTGCACTCACTGTTATGTTTTGAATCATGTGAAGCAAAAATGTTTTTTAAAAGCACAGAAGTTTTCTTTAGTCTGTGAGATGCAGTCAGATGTTGTATTTTCGTATACAATTTCCCAGACAGAATTTAGTTTGAGAGTCTGTCATTTACCTATGATTGTGCAATATTATTGAGCATGTAAATCTTTTTCATGTTTTCATGTGTGTATGCTTGTGTGTGTGTGTCTGTGTGCGCATGTGTGAGAGACTTAATGTAAGTGGGTATTGTAAAATACATACTACAAACAGTGTTACTGTGCAAATTGATTTGACAATTGAAATGAATATAATTGAGTTCATACCAATTTATTGATTATTTTTTTAAAAAATTTCATTGCATCTACAATCACAGTGACCTCATCAAATTTTGTCAAAAAGTGGAAAATAAGAAGCTTGGTCTTAAAATTCATACTGCAGTAAACAATTTAACAATTATGGAGCATAATCAGTGCCACAGGCACCATAGTAGATGAAAAGTTTCAAGTACACTATGCATTGAGTGGTTAAAACTACAAAAAAAAACACATAATTTATACCCTTAACATATCAATACTTTTACGTACTCTCTCTCCCGACAGTTTTTGACAACATGGCTCACAACTTAGAAAAACACTTTTTTTCTCATTAAAATTGCAGCAAATCATTTAAAAAATAATAATTTATCAACAGTAAAGTTACGTACACTTACGTAAAAGAAAACAGTTCCCCGTAAGAGGCTACTTAAGGAACATTAAAACTCTTCTCTTAGTATTTCTTTGGCATGAGGCAAAATGACTTTGATGAATTATCAATTCATTACAGTAATTTCTATTATTGACTTAGCTATCAAGCACATTGAAGTCAAAGATAGATCATACATTCAAAAATTGGTGTCCAGTTTATAAAGCAATTTGAGCAGAGACCAAAAGATACCCTTGCGACACAAGCTCAGAAATAACATACAGTAGTGAAGAAATTGTACTTGTAGCCATTCAATTTCAAAGGAAGAGTGCACAATTCAAGAAACTCTCTTTGGAAGAGTAAGACAACATACTACCTTCACATTCAGCTCCAGAGTAAAGATGACCGTTGAGAACCCAAATAATTCTTAACAATCCAACAAGAAAAACATAATATATAAATAAGTCATACATAACATTATACCTACATGGTATAAATTAATTATATTTGAACAACAAGACATAGAGTAACTAAGCAAATTATGAATTAATTTGAGTGTGTTTTGTCTGTTTTTTAGATTGTTTGATTATTAAACCTGCTATGTTGAGGAGAAACATAGACAAAGACAATCCATACATAAGAACTTATGCACTTAAAAAAGTAGCCCATAGTCCTCAGCAATGCATATCAACTAGAAAAGTTAGAATCAGAGCCGCCCCCCCCCTCCCGCCTTCCCCCTGTTTATGTCCCTAAACATTGATAAACATTGATATAAATTTTTTTTGTTTTGGAAAGTCAGTTCCTTTCCATAAAGATGGACTGAGTGAAAGACATTACGGGTTCAGAGTAGTAATCTCATTTTTAAATTATTATTTTTTTTTTGCATGAGCAAGTCTAAAGTATTGAGCTACAGCTTAGAAAAGGTTAATTTTTCAATCTATAGGACGTCTTCACAACTTCTGCTAAACAAAACTTTTTTCTTTGAAGGATTCTACTTAAACAATAAAAGGAAAAGGAAAAAAAATGCTTGCTTTTGGCTTTTACATTGGAACATACATAGCACAAATACCTACATCAATAAAGCTTCGAGATCGAATTATTATCCTAACATGAATACAGGGACAGGTCTACAAAAACTTTTATCATTGTAGCTTCTTGGCATATCCTAAAATGATCTCCACAATCAAGAAGGGTTCCTTTTTTAACTCTTGATCAGCAAGACCTGCTATGCATAAAATAGTCCTAAATATTAACAATAATATGCACATAGTATCACAAGAAAATGTACAAAAAAAAAAATTACTTGATACAATTTTTTTTAGTTGAAAACATTTGGAAAGCACTTTGGTGCGTCACATACTGTGTGCGATGAACATCAAATAAACATGTATTTTGCCATTAACATAAATACTAATTACCTATATGTATTTACAAGTATTGTCAGCATAATCTTACTTAAAACTGTAAAGCACTAAAACATCAATTGATACTTAAAAGGCCACCTACCTCCCACTCTGTTATCACTACAAACACACAAAGCCATAAATATCACATTTAAGTCAATATGTATTTATCACTCTAAATATATAGAGTGTACCTAAAAATTGTCATTTTAATAAAAATATAATGAAGATTACGTAAACATTGATGATTGAAACTAGGAAAACTTTAGCACGCACACTTGATGTTTGGCATCTGCCACTCTACACTTAAAGAGAATTGAAACGTTTAATCTGAGATGCTATTATAAAAGGTCACTTGGCAACAAAAGTAATCCAACTCAAGATCTAGAATTCTTTTGGTCCCATTTTTTTCTATCTTGAGTAAGAGCTGAAAAACAAAGCATCTATAGCAGCATGTTAAGTGTCACAATTGGAGAGATGATGTGTGACCAACATATTTCAGAATATTTCAAAAGATTTTTCAGATTTTTGCAGTGTGATGCAGAAATTTATTCCCCATGGCATTAAAAACCATAGATGTCTGCAGAGACTTCATTTATAAACAATGTTTTCTACCTCACATAACAATTTCCTCCAGCAATTTAACTACTATTTTCTGATAAAATAAAGCATTCTGATTGCAGTAGTAAGCAGATGTGTGTTGAGAAGATCTAGAATTCCAGACATTACTTCTAAACAACTTGACTGAGCACTATTCAGCAATGAAAAATAAAAACAGCCTTGTATTTATGAGCATCCAAGTGAGCATTGCTCAGCAAAACCAATTTGATCTTGTTCCAACTTAAATAAAATATAGGACCTACCTTTAAATTCACTTTCATCACTCTACAGGAGTATGCAAATCACTTATTGTGGAGTTATGCCTGGTTTTTCTACATCCCTCACGGTCACTAATTAAGGCATCTTTCGATTGATGAAGCGCATTCATTTTGTCAAAGTCAATTGATGAATATGCTGGTGTGTTTTCATGGGGAGACTCGGGATGAGCACCTGTGGGTGTGAGGCTTGAGGCAGGTGATAGTTCATTCAAGTCTAATAGGGCATAAGTAACCTGAGGAGCTGTGGAGCAATCATCAACATCATCTAAGAGACTTGAGTTAAGGGGGGAAACTTCATCAATGGATGGTCCAATTGGACACTTTTCAATCTGGTTTCCCCGTGACAGTCTACTGTCATTTATGCTTGTAGATTCTTTAGGAACATAAGGCATATGTACTCCGCGTACGGGTGGATGAATAATTGAAATTCCTTTGGGAGGAACATTTCCATAACCTGGAACAATATTCTGATACAAGTGGTCCCGTGATCCTTCCCCATTGCTGTCAAGGGCTTCTCCATTGCATGTTCCACCATTGTGATCCATCCAGTGTGATATATGCTCTTGGTCTCTTGAAATCCCCAGATTCATGTAGGTTGTGGAAGATGCAAGGATTGGTGGAGATATTTCATTGTTTTCAGGGAGTTGCACAACTGCAAATTCATAATTTGAATGAGGCTGATTGTTGTTACTATCATCTTCTGGTTCTTCTGGGGAAAGGGGAATATTTTCGGTACTTGAAGGACCTTTTCCATTGGTTAGAGTTTCTGGGACACTAATTATAGGTTCAGCTCCTGATGCAGGGGGTGATATTGGTGGTGGACTCACAGGACCACTGCTGTGGATGCTGTCTGTATGTCCATTCGCCAAAGGTTGCTGGCGATTACCAGCATTTCTTGGTTGGGTGGGCTCTAAGGGGTCAGGAGTAGGGGCATTTTCTTCAAATTGAGCTTGAAGATAACTGAGTAATTGTTCTGCCCTGTGACAGCGAAATGCATAGAAACCATGCCCTGAGGGTCAAAGAAAAAATCTCAAAATAAATACTTAAGCGAGGACACATTTTGAACCACCTAGAAACTGATGTAACAAACCTGTAGGAGCTCTTCGGCCAGATTCAAAACTAAAGAGCTCTGAATCTGCGCCGTATCGACGCAAACTTTTCAGTGGCCAAACAGTTGGAGCTTTATGCTTTTGATGAAGTATCAATTCTGTTTCGGTTACTTCCAACCTGCCGAAACATATCTTATTTCCATCTCCATCAACATTTGCAACCTGTGATGGGTAAGGATTAAAATGAAAAAGGTTTGAAGACATCAAGCAGTAAATACACAATTAACATGAAAAACTGTATGCAGCATTCACCTCATAGATATTTGGTAAGGATTTTTTGCTGGGAACACAACCCATTACAAATGGTCACGAGAGGACCTGTTGACAAAAACCTACACATAAATAAAAAATACTTGCAACCTTATCAAATAATAGGAAAAGCTTGGTCAAGATTATACAACTAGAACTATGGTGCAAAACAATGTGTAAATGATATTGTTCTTTCAAAATGTTCTCAAACATTTAACAAAGTAAGATCTTGGTTCACAGCATCAGCGTTTGGTCCAAAGGTTAAATGTCAGTGTTACTATTGCAAACAAATAAATTGCTGTTACACAATGTTTAGAAGTTTTTCATCCCAAATAAAATAAAAATTTGTACATGAATTATCGCTGGCAAAAAACTACACAGCAATAGTCCACTAAATGAGATGTTCAACTTTGTATCATCATCCTGGACCAAAGGCATGAAAGATTGGTTTAAGATCAACATCCCGAGATAACTTACCAGCTAAGTTTGAGTTAAGTGACGGGAGCTAGAATTAGAATGAAGACAAAATGAGGTAGTAGGAAAGAGGCGTTTCTTTCACTCATTCCTGACATCACAGCGTATGACGCATCATCCCAATTTGTTTGCTTGCTTGACACCTAACTCCACAACATGTCCTCTCTTTTCCGAAGCCGCACCCGAATGTTCCGAAAAGAAAGGAGTGGAACGATCAAAAATAACACGGTGAAGGAAAAGTTAATGGAAGAATTAAGAGGGTGAAGGAACAGAAAGAAAATAAGTTGCAACGCAAAGACTTTTACAACATGTCAACATGAAATTTCCAGCAGCAGCAGAACACTTTTCGAAGATGTGGTGTGCCTGTGCCTGAACCAATAGCCTACATTGATCAAGCTATGAAAAATTCAATTGTGAGAGCATATTATACAGGGAAAATATTTAAGACGTAAGACTTAAAACTTGTCAAGATTTACGTTTATAGCTTCAGTGATAATTTTTCTTTATTATTTCAGTTCGTTCATCTTGCTGAATGAGTAATGAGCGGATATCCTCAGTTGTTTTCCTCTGTCTTCATCTCAATTTCTCATATCCTCCTTAACTCGTCCCCTCCTTGCACAACACATCCTGGACTGGACAAACAGTTGTTGTTGTTTTCCCTTTCTCTTTGTGCGACATGGAGCCTTGCGTCGAGTAGTGTGGTTGTTGATATTCTAGTAATTTCACGAGTGCACGTGCTTCAAAGGAATTCCTTCAGTGTCTTTCGACATGGATACTTATCTTCTGAACAACAATCGGTAAGGTTTTGAGGATTTTGCGTGTGAAAAGTGCACTGAGCTGGTGCCAAGGAACAGCTGACCTTAGCCCAAACAGTTTCCCTTGTTGACTTTGTTTGTTATTTCTATAGTATGATGTATTCCACCATTTCTTTGATTGTTTTATGTTGCTGTTGTGGTGCAACTGATGTCTTTAAAATTTCATTACTGAATGTGCATGTTTTCCTTGTCAGCTACAAAGCTTCAAACATGTTCATTGACATCCCGATGTCCTCATTTTATTTTTTGAATCAAAATTCGAATGGTTTGACCATTCTTGAATTACATACTTTGAATGCTGAGGAAAATTTATAATAAATTCCTGTTCAATATCCTGTACTGGAAGCTAGCTAACATATCATGCAATTACTTATGAAAAGGTTATCGCCACTTATTACTGACACATTTTCACCATCTCATAATCGTGCTGTTTCATCCTTACATTTGTGGTGTCCTCTCTTCATCTTTGGTTATTAATCAAGTATTAATATTTTGTCTGTCACATAGTTGTATTTGGATCTATCAAGATCTAATCTGAGGGTACCATATGCTCAATATCCAATATTTTGCCGTTCCAAAACATGTAATAATTTTACAATTTACTGAAAGTCCTTTTATAATTAGGTTTAATTTTAAGCCAACTCTTAAACGTATTAACAGCCTTATAAGCTGATTAAATGTTTGTGACCCATGGCCATATGGATAGTCATGTCATCATTGAGGTGTTAATAGAATATCTTGCATGTGAGATGTTTCAAAATCCTGTAAGTTTTTACTATATGATTCCCCAGTCAGGCTTGAAACGAGGAATGGGACAGAAAAAGAATTGAGAGGGTGGATCCTATGGGTCCGGTCTGTTTTGTCCAAGGTAAAGGTGCAATGTGTCATCTTATGTAACAGTAGCCAATGATAGTGCCAGGGCTCGGCACTAAATACATGGAGGAGAGATGGAGGGGAGAGGAAGGAAACTACGCTTTAGGGAAGCAACATTAAAACGGTTTTGTCATTCCAGGGGAAAAGTAAGGAGTTCCACGAATTGCGCTCAATCAGCGCGTAACTGCGTCTCCAGTTCACAAAGAGTGTGGGAAATTTTGATTAAAATTGTATATACAATCGCCAAATGTTTTTGAAAAAGAGGGGAGGGCAGAGGAGGGAGAGACTCGATGACGACGCGCGAGCGGGTCCGGTCCCGGAGTATGTAATTGGGATCCACAGGAGGACACTTTCACATCGGGTCGGACAAGTTCCATCAGGGCTGTTAGGCGGGCACACTCGCTTCGTCCGCGTGCCGAGCTGGTTGGCGGAGGGTAGGGGAGGGGGGCTGGGGAATGCTGAAGGAGGATAATTTTTCGGAATATGCGATGCGAGGGGATTTGTCCGACTGTCCCTTATCTTACCACCCGAAATCATCACACCCCTGCAGAATTCCTTGAAAGACCTGCACACATAGGCGCGAATAATGTCCTGTTTTCGCGCGCCGCCCACTCCACTGCACTCGAAGCCCCAAGTCCTTCCCCAGATAGCAGCGGTGACCGTAGGACCCGAGCACGGTGTAGAGTCTCTCTTTACCGTGGACCCGCGGATCCGCTTAGGCCCGGTCCGGCGGCGCCCCTCGGCGACAGCGCCCGCCTTCTTAGCCCGTTGCGGAGCGGAGATGAAACGCCGTAGTACGGCTTGTTTGGGCCTCCCTTCAAACACGGATGCTAATTTAAGACACCCCCCCCCCCCCGACTCTGCCCACCCCGCCCGCTGCACCACCACCACCGCTGCGGAGCGGGCTGAGCGCCTGTTGGCTGTGGGGTAGGCAGCTGGTGGGGCCGCAGCGCACGGCTGTGTTACAGGCGGGCCTACCGCCCAGGCGCCCTGCTGTCACACGCACCTGCACTGCACGCGCGGGAGGGGGGGGGGCGGGGCTTCCGAAAACGCCTTCTATAACTGGCCTACAGAGGGCGAAGGGCGTGGTGGAAGAACGTTTTCCTGGAGCTCCCGAATACCCCTGCGGGAGGAGCGCCTGTGGGGTAGGCAGCTTGTCGGGCCGCAGCGCACGGCTGTGTTGCAGACGGGCCTACCGCCCAGGCGCCCTACTGCCACACGCATCTGCACGCACGGGAGTGGGAGCTCCCGAAAGCGCCTTCTATAACCTATCTACAGAGGGTTAGGGGTGGGGGTGGAGGAACGTTTTCCGGGAGCTCCCGAATACCCCCCTCCGGGAGGAGCGCCTGTGGGGTAGGCAGCTTGTCGGGCCGCAGCGCACGGATGTTTTGCAGGCGGGCCTACCGCCCAGGCGCCCTGTTGCTACGAGTGCCTGCACCTGCATGCGATGCGCTGCACGCTGCTACCTACATGCCTGCCCCAGGTGGCCTCCCTCCCATGGATCTTTTTATTGTTCGGTTTTCGTGTGAACTCGATCGCGAACGGTGTCGTCTCGGGTGTCGTCACCGACGAGCGGCCAGTGAGTAACCCGCATCTGGCGGCCGTTGTCGCTCGGGGACCCTTGCTGAGCTTCTCATTCTCTATCTCTCTCTCTTTTCATCCCACTCCCTCCTCCCTCTCTCTCTCTCTCTCTCCGTCCCGCTCGCTCGTTGTCCTCCTCCCTCTGCGTGGCATGACGCATGCGGCCCGTCCTGCTATCATGCTGTCCAAAGTCCACCTGGGCCGTGGGGCTGCTGCTGCTGCTGCTGCACAGTGCTGCGCAAGGCGGCATGGAAGTCGAGACGGCTCGCTAAATCATAGAGACCAGCATACTTGACCGCAGCACTTGATTTTTTAAAATATTTTTTAAAAATATAATTGAGCGGAATCTCCCTTTCTATCTCTTCTCACACCCTTAACTCTCTCTTTCTTCTCACAGCCTTACTCTCTCTCTTCTCACACTCATTTTCTGTTTTCGGTCCCTCTTTCTCCTCCTCTCAGTCCCTCTCCGTCTTCTCAGCCCCCCCCTCCCTCCCCACGGTCTTCTTCCCCCGACACGCGGATGTTCGGCGCAGAGACTTCCCCATGGCGACTTGTTGTGGTGCTGCCCAATGCCGATCGAGTCTGACTGGCGCGTGGGGTCGCCTCGCCACGCGCTGCACCTCTCCGCGTCACCGTAAACACCAAGTAAACACCCTGTTATTGGTGTTTACGGCGATTATTATCGAATAAAACGCGCGCAAACATGTGGTGTTGTATTGATAGGGGGGGGGGTAATTCGTTGCTGGGAATCGTCATTGACTCGCTTCAGTGAAGGTATCCAAAAGACTGGTGAATTAGGGGGGGGGGGGTCATCTTACACACGGTAGCGTACTAGAAAAATGAATAGAGACGGACTGTGATGAGCCCGGGGCCGGGCTGATGAGCCCCCGGTCTCACGTCTCCCCGGCATGGTGGCGTCGCGTCTCCTTTCGGGAGGTCACTCGCTGGGTCACGCTCTGGCCCCGCCCCAATAATCCCCGTTCCGTCTGCCGTACGTTTTGCCGACCTTTCATTTTTTCGCGGACCACACAGCGGGGCGTGGAGGGCCGGGGCGCGGTATTTGACGATAGCGCGTCCTCGTCGGTCGCTGCCGGGCCGGAGGTCGCACGGTCGCACGTGACCAGGACCATACACGCCATTGTTAAGCGAGCGGGAGGGCAAGACTATAAGCGGCTGGAGGAGGCATTCCAAAGGCATGCCGTGCACGGGCACGGGCATCGCTGGAGTGATGTGCCTCGTCTAAAAAAGAGAGACGGAAGTGTTCCGAAACCAGCACTCAAATAAAAGAGGGCAACCAAAGCAAGCGTCGCGCTCTTCCACTTTGCAAGTTCAAGAGAAACGAAATTGAGAGCGCTTCGCTCGATATGCGCGTGAATCCTCATTTGCAGTTACAGTTAATTTTTATTTTTTTGTTCAACAACAAAAGTTTTGCTGACACAGTGCTGCTCCCTCGTAGCTCTTTAACATTTTCTGCGGTGGCCAAATATTTGCCGCTAATTACCAATAATTAGAAGGCTCATTTGGGCAGCGACAGACACACCCTCAAAGACTGAGTTCTTTGACCAAAGTACATTGTACTTGATCTTTAATTTTTCAAGTGCATACGTTTTGATTCAAGTGAGATACACTTGAAAAATCGAGGATTACGTATACAATGTTCGTACTTGATCCAAGAACTCAGTTTTTCGGGTGCAGGCGTAAAGATATCACGTGACAGCAGGCCCTTTGACAAAATTAGACGTACGTAGAATAAAAGTGGCGTATTGTAACGAGAGCCGTGCATAATGAGGTCACGGGGTCACACGGGGTCGTATTAAGCGAAGCCCGGCCTTAATATGCGGACCTGTTGCTGTTGTTGTTTATTGTTGTTATTTTCGGTCGGATCGGTCGCGCGGTTCCTCTCCTTTGCCTTGCTCCGCTGTGCTCCCCAGTCGCGCGGGTATGATGACCGACGACCCCCTCCGCGCTGTCTAGCGTGGGGAGGTCAGCGCCGAAAAAAAAGTGAAACAACGAATGCGGGGTGTTTGGTGGGGCGCCAGCTCGTTCGACTTAACGTAATTGCACCTCTCGTTAGACACCCCCCTCCCCCCCTCAGCACACACGCACACACACTCTCACGGCGCATGTGGATCCGGCGGGTTGATGACACGGAATGGGAGTCATGATACCGTCGTACCGTCGTCAGTCCCCGCGCCCCCCGCTGCGTTTTGGTCGGCGGAAACAACCTTTCTGTCTCACATGGATGTAAAAGCACCACGATATTGTGTATTTGTTTTTATTTACGGTCGACCAGTTTAGGCGTTAAGACAAAAGTATTACTTGGGAGGCCTACCTGTGCCGTTCATTCTTCTGGTCATACAGGATGCAGGCCTGCGGAGGGGTTGCATATTCGCACGGGGTCATGAGGCGCCTCGGTAAGCGACGATAGGCAAGCCCGCCCACACGCCTGCATCCGGTACAGTATAATCAGACGAATATGAACGGCGCCGATGGGCCACCCTCCCTGTAACAGGTGAGGCACTAAACCGATAACACCTTTTAAAGGTCTGACAGCACCCTTGCGTGCCGCCGACGCCTGCAGGCAGGTGCAGCCTCAAGCGCAGTGGGTGCCCCCGCAGGGAAGTCCTCCCCCCTCCCCTCCACTCGTTCTGAGCCCGCCCCTGCCCCTGCGGCTTGTCAACAATCACGCGCTCATGCAGTGCAGCAGCCGCGGGCAGGTGCAGCCTCGGGTGCAGCTTCAGGTGCAGCCGCAGCCGGTGCCCCCGCAGGGAAGTCCCCCCCCCCTTCGTCCTGGGCCCGCCCCTTCCCCTGCGGCTTGCCAATCACGCGCTCATGCAGTGCAGCAGCCGCTCGGCAGCCGCGGCCCGTCGGCGTTGACCTCGGCCGCCCGTCGGCGTGCCCCGGTCGCCCCCCGGCCGCCCCGGCAGCCCTGGCTGCGTGCAGCGCGGTGGCGCGCCCTGGCGGCCGCTGTCGGCGGCGCGGCCCCGCGGGCCTACGGGACGGGACGGCAGCGGCGCTTCAGTCAGTCAGCGTGCGGGAGCGCACCGCGGTAGAGCGTCGCGTGTGTCAGCGAGTGTGTGTGTGTTTGTGTGTATGCGAGGGAGCGAGCGGGGGAGTCTTCCTAGTGAACATGAAGCTCGACGGGGGCGTGGACGTGGCCGGCGGGGATGCTGACGGACTGTTGTCGTCTGGTCGCAGGAAGTCGTCGACGGTGAAGGTGACCATCACCCCGTCGCAGCCCAGGACGCTGTCGCACCTGCCCAAGCGGCCGCCCGTGGACATCGCCTTCTCGGACCTGACGTACTCCGTGACCGAGGGCCGCAAGAAGAGTAAGTACTGCAGCCTTTCCACTTTCATTTTATAATTTTAGTCGTACTACACTATGAGTTCTTCCTCTTTTACTTCGCGCTTCAAAGCAAAAATCGAAAATGCTCCATTTATGTATGTAATTAATTGTAATTAAGCTGCTTAACGCAAACTGTACGCATTATTTTGTTTTGAAAATGAGACCTGTATCAGTTTCAATGGATTTCGCGTCATTATAAATGGATCTGAGGTCTTCAGGAAGAGTCAATCGAAATTATTTCGCCGCAATCAGAAACTCCTGTATGCCAAAAGAGGCAGAAAAAAAAGCGCAGGCGCCTGGTAGTAGCAGTGCTGGTTGCTACGCCTCACTTTGTTTTTCTTTCCCCTCTGCCATGAACCGACCGCGAAGACTAGTTGCTCGCATGCGCGCGCGCGTGTGTGTGTGAGAACGTGCGAGAGAGACAGAGAGAGGCTCTACAGGTCAGGGAGTGTCAGAGGCCAAACTAAGTCGTCTGCACGACGTTGTCCGTTTTTTTTCCCTCTGTTTTTTTCCCTCGGGCTCGAAGCGATAGAGATTATGGTATGGGAGTTCCGCGACGTCGTCGGTCGGGTGGAAGAGGAGGGGGGGGGGGGGGCAATCCGGGTCGAACGCTATCAACGGAGTCTCGTATGGATCGCACTTTCCGTGACGTAGTTGTGGAACGTTTCGGACAACAATAATATTGATGGCCGCCGCATAACATGATCGTTTCTGGAAGAGTTAAATCATTAACGAGAGGGGGGAGAGGAAGGGGGGGGCGTCGTCCATGAGTAAGACTCGTTTCGTCGATCTTGGAACCGGCAATTATAGTAATGATAAGGAAGGCGACGCCGCTGCGTGGTTGGGCTGGGTTTTGAACAGGCGGGTCACCGTCGTCGCCGGGCTGGCGCGGCCGCGGGGGAAGTACCAAAGCACCTCCACGACGTCGGGGAGCTCGGGCTCCTCGGCCACCGTCGTCGCAGTTGAGTTGCTCCTGTGTATACTCCACGCCGGCGTCCTTGTCTTCTCCGCGTCACGCACCGCCCGCCCCAGTCTCTCTCTTTCTCTCTCTCTCTCTCTTTCTCTCACTCACACACTCACACACACACACATATATTCACTCCGATCGCTTCGCCGCGAGCAAACAGCCCGGCTAATGAGATGGGTCACCCGCCGGCTCGACGAGACACTGTCAAACAGTAAGAGGGGGGCAGAAAAAACGCAGAATGTGTGCGGCGATAGAGGAAAAAGACGACTTTGAGGCGAGCTGTGTAGCCAATCGGGTTTGATTAAACGTTTTATTTTTGGCCTTTATGGATCAGAATCGCGAGAGGCATTTGGGTTCGCGGCTGCGGCGCGCAGCCGGTTCGCGGCGTGTCTCCCCCCCCCCCCCAATCTAAAGCGCCGACACCGGGTACAGTGTAATCGAGCAGAGTACAGAAGGGGGGCAAAGGCCGCGGGCGGCGGGCGCAGAGTGTTGTCTGTGTGCTGAGGTGAAGAGCGCGGCGTTCAGTCGCAGTCGCGGCCAATTACTTCACTCACTCCCACAAAACAGCAGCGCTCCACGCGGAACGCTCTCTCAAAGTGCCACATGTGTTACAAAACCGACTCATTTGCGTCATTTTACAATTTGCCGAGCGGAGCACTTTCTTGGCCTGCCGCCGCGGCCGGGCAGCCACAATCACACTAAATTACAAAAAAGCGTGGTGCAGCAGCAGGAGTGGCATGGCACCTGCTGTGCTGGAGCGCGGTGCAGCAGCATGAGTGGAGCGCGGTGCAGCAGCTGGAGTGGCACCCGCCCGCGCCCGCGTCAAGCAATGATGAGTAAGGCGGTCCGTTTCACTGGTAGTGCCATTAGTATTCGGCGCATCCTAGTGCCGAGGCGGAGCCTGGACAGGGCCGGTGCGGGCTGACGTCACACGGCCGGGGGGCCCGGCTAGCTCGAGGAAGTCCTGGCCCGGGGCGGGGGGTGCCCGCCTGTGGCCGACACCTCTAGAGGCAGTGCCTGTTATCATTGCGCACCAGAGGCCTCATAATCCTGGAAAGGCCCGCAGCAAGTCTACACTCGCTGTCTGCGACCCCCCCCCCCCTCCGACTCCTACTAAAGTACTCACTGTAAGTCGCTGTAGTACTGCCACAACACGAGGGCGTGCGACTCACCCGCGGGCTGGACTGCCCGCCCCTTGTGACGGGCTCTGATGTCGCGCATTCTGGCGTGGCAACGCTGCGTGCCGATCGGCCAGCCGACCCCCGGCCGATGCGATACGCCGGGCCTGGCCAGCCGGGGCGATACCAGAGTCGCGGGGCCCGCGGCCGACCAGCCAGCCAGCCAGCCGTGGGAAAGGCAGAACACAAGGCAGCCGCGTTCGACCCGCCGCCGACAACCCGAGCTCGAGCAGCAGAGCAGCAGTCCAGCCAGCAGCATGCAGCTAGCTTTCTTTCGCAGAACTTCGCTCCTAATAACCTTAGCAGCTCGTCGCGACATATCGCGCGGAGGAGGCTGGCGCGCGCCGGGGCAGAAGCGCGGCGGTTCGCTCGCACCGGCTAACTCAACCCGCGCTCGCTTCGGGCGCGAATCGCGATTCTCACCTGCCCACTTTTGGTCCCATTTCTCTTTGCCTCGCACTGCCAACCAAACTGCCCTTGCACCTTTTACGATATGCCCTGCCACGCACCGCCCCGCCCCTACCACTCCCCACCACGCCCCGCACCGTACCGCCCCGCCACGCTTCACTTCCTTCTTGCAGTAAAAGCTGTCGCGTGGCGATAACAGTCGCGAGTCGCTGGGCGGGCGGGACAGAGAGTTTGCAGGGCCTGCTGCAAGTCGTTGCAAGAATACAAGGACGTTTGGTGCTCCAAAGCGGTTTGATTTTTACTTTATTTCGCGAGCCGCGCCACAATCTAAACACACTGTACCCGCGCATCGCCGCCCGCCCCGCACCGCCCCGCCCGCACAAAGGTCGCGGCCGTGCAACGTGCCTTGTCGCTGCCTTGTCGCCCATGTCGCTCCTCTTGCTCTCCCACCTCCTCGTTCTCGTTCTCGTGCGTCACCGGCGCGCCGCCGCCCCGGAGCCGTGTGGACGTTGTTCATCGCCACACTCATCAGCCGCGCGCCGCGCCGCGCATCAGCGGCGACGAAAGGAGAAATAAAATAATAAGCCGGCCTCATGAAGTGTCGATTTGAGCCGGAGGCGTGTTTCTTTCGCGAATCATATCCATCTTTATAAAGTAAAATCAAATGATCAGACTCATCAAATAATCAACTTTTAAAAGACGCTACAAGAAACGGAATATAAGAGCTGACAGACGCTATAGGCGCTATGACGGTGACGTTTATAATTGATTGAAAGCGTTTTTGCTGTGCGTGAAGCGACGGCGGCGGCCCATCTCGGGGCCGTGCGTGCAGATCACCGCGGTGCGCGCTTGCACATCGGCGGCGGGCCCAGGGTGGGTTGGAAAAGGGTAAGGGGGGGGGGGCACCGCGGGCTATAAACAGCATAAGCACGCTGCTTGTCCGTCTGCCTACTGTCTCTGCGGCAGGATGGATGTGGCGCGCGTCCTGACCCCGCGCGGCCCTCCCGGCCCGGTATGGACCCGCGCGTGCCAACAAGAGAGGTCGCCGCGGAACGACAACCCCTTCCCCACAAAGGAGGGAGAAATAGAAAAGGCAGCGCTTCCCTAAACGCACTGGATGTAGTACAGAGTACCCCCCCC